TGTTTCTAAGATTTCCTGGTGTCAGAAGTTGGCTCTCTGTGTTTGGAGTGCCCAGGTCAGGCAATGACAGTGGAATAACTTGCCTTAGTATCCCGCTGCAGAACTATTTTGTCTCATTGTGATATTCAGCACATGGTGGGGTGAATTTCTTTGCTTACTCCCAGAACTGATATACCAGCTGAACTTGAAACCATGAGCAAACACTAACCCAGGAACCTATCCCTGCAACAAACCCCGTTGCCAACTCTGTCCACATATCTATTCAAGGGACATCATCATAGGACCTAACCACATCAGCCACACCATCAGGGGCTCATTCACCTGCACATCTACCAGTGTGATATATGCCATCATGTGCCAGCAATGCCCCTCTGCCATGTACATTGGCAAAACCAGACAGTCTCTATGCAAAAGAATAAATGGACACAAATCAGACATCAAGAATTGTAACATTCAAAAACCAGTAGGAGATCACTTCAGTCTCCCGGGGTACTCAATAACAGACTTAAAAGTGGCCATTCTTCAACAAAAAAACTTCAAAAACAGACTTCAGTGAGAAACTGCAGAACTGGAAGTCATTTGCAAACTTGACACCATCAAATTAGGCCTGAATAAAGACTGGGAATGACTGGGTCACTAAAAAAAAGTAATTTTCCCTCTGCTGATACTCACCCCTTCTTGTCAACTGTTGGGAATAGGCTACATCCATCCTCTTTGAATTGGCCTCGTTAGCACTGACCCCCCACTTGGTAAGGTAACTCCCATCTTTTCATGTGCTGTAATATCTATTACATCTAATATCTATCTACCTGCCTGCTCTATTTTTCACTCCATTCATCTGATGAAGTGGGTTATAGCCCACGAAAGCTTATGCTCAAATAAATTGGTTAGTCTCTAAGGTGCCACAAGTACTCCTTTTCAGTTTGGTGTAATGGCTCTCAGCACCCGCAGTATAAAAATTGTTCCAGCCCCCCGCTGAACATATGAGCTTCAGGTGTCAATTTATTTTATTGTTGAAATTGATACAATGGCAGTTATCACAAAGCCTCTGGTTTGAAGTGCAGTCGGCCAAATTCTCTGCTGATGCAAACTGGTACAGCTCGGTTCAATGGAACTGACTTCAGTGGAGCTGCACCAGTCGACACTGGCGGAGAACTTCATCCAATATACGGAGCATGGAGTGCTGACAAGTATAAGCCTCATCAGAATCCCCTGTCCCAAGCTACAGCTCAGCACATCACACACAATCACCTCCATGGTCCAGTGCCTGGGGCCCTGTAGGCAAACAGACTTGGGCTCTAATGCACTGTGGTGAGCTGCTGCGCTAAGGACCTGCCTCTGAGGACATCCTGTTCTCCAGCCCCCCAGGATGGTTAGCAAGAGCATCCTAGCTGTGAGAGCAAACAGGGAGAGAAGCACCCCTTTGATGTCAGTGGGAGTCAAGAATGCTCAGCAGCCTGAAAGCTTGGGACTTGAGGTATCCAGGGTGCTATAGGTCAATCTCAGCATTCGGGGGAGGGCAGCTGTAACCTGCTCCATCAGACTAGCACTGCGCATTAAGCAGGCAGCCGCAGTGTGCACTCGCGGAAGGGTCTGAGTGGTCTTCAAGCGTAGGTTCAAATAGCGCTCCGTGAAGTAATCCAGCCTGGGGCTTACAAAGGCCCAGAGGTCTGTGGCAAGGTCCAGATCAGAGAAGAACGGCCACAAACCTCTGGCCAAATGAAGATGATGAAATCTGCTTCTGGCTGTCCCCGGGAATCCACATGGAGCTGGAATTATGCAGCATGAGGCAGGCCAGTTTGCAAAATGGGGAGGAAAGCGTTCATCCCACCGCATGTGTCCACCTGCTGGGTGCTGAACCACTCCATTGCCTAGTGGGCATGAGGAATGATCTTGGTGCAGCTGGGTAGAAATGCCTGTCCAGTTCCTCCTATGCCCAAAGGCCCACCACAATCTACATCTAGCTGTAGCAGTCGACAGCTCTCAGGAACTTGAATGACAACAGTCAGGGGGTGAAATTCCATCCTGTGCAGAGAGCCCGCACACGCTCCATTCACCACAGACGTCTCGATGAAGCATTAGTTTGCAGGGTTACAGCTAAGCTAAACTATCAGCCTTATTAGCTCAAAGCCAGTAGCAGACTCATAAATGTCTGGACATTGTCTAGCCTCTACGGGGGGACAAGGAACCACACTGCATTAGTGCGGGTGACATGTAGGCCATCTGCTGGCCTGTGCCCAGGAGTCAATTTAACCCATGTTCAGTAGGGTCCAGTTATGCCACCTTTACCCTCTGCAAGCTGCATCACTGAAATCACTGGGCCAAATCCCAAACTAGTGTAAATCAGCTGAATTCCATTGACCTCAGTGGGGCGATGCCAATTGACATCAGCTGAGGATCTAGCCGAAGGACTTTTCTGTTTTGCTGTCCTTGGAAAATCTGTCATTCGACTGCTTCGTGTTCGGATGCCTGTCTCGCTTCACGCAGAGTGCTGTTCAGATGTGTCTGGCACGTGGGTAGCTCAGTGCCATATTAGCCCAGCATCTGTAAAAAGTGTGCACCTCTGCTCTCCCATGCAGATCTGTCCAAGAGAGAGCACAGTGCAGTCATTGTACAGAGGAATCATAGAATCATAGAATATCATGGTTGGAAGGGACCCCAGAAGGTCATCTAGTCCAACCCCCTGCTCGAAGCAGGACCAATTCCAGTTAAATCATCCCAGCCAGGGCTTTGTCAAGCCTGACCTTAAAAACCTCTAAGGAAGGAGACTCTACCACCTCCCTAGGTAACGCATTCCAGTGTTTCACCACCCTCTTAGTGAAAAAGTTTTTCCTAATATCCAACCTAAACCTCCCCCACTGCAACTTGAGACCATTACTCCTCGTTCTGTCATCTGCTACCATTGAGAACAGTCTAGAGCCATCCTCTTTGGAACCCCCTTTCAGGTAGTTGAAAGCAGCTATCAAATCCCCCCTCATTCTTCTCTTCCGCAGACTAAACAATCCCAGTTCCCTCAGCCTCTCCTCGTAAGTCATGTGTTCCAGTCCCCTAATAATTTTTGTTGCCCTCCGCTAGACTCTCTCCAACTTTTCCACATCCTTCTTGAAGTGTGGGGCCCAAAACTGGACACAGTACTCCAGATGAGGCCTCACCAATGTCAAATAGAGGGGAACGATCACGTCCCTCGATCCGCCCAGTCGTAGTGCAAGGGTTTTGAACATTGCAGTCGGACGGGCCACGCTGTTGCCTGCCTCCAGGCTTGATTGGAATGTGTAGGCCTGTTGTATTAACTTAGAGGAAACAGATGGGCCAAAGGTTTTAACGTAATCTCGTTCCTAGTTAACATTAAACAGAGTTAAACAGCGTCCGGGGCTTGGTTTACAGAGACTTCAGCTCGCTGAGCACGGGCGCACGCACACTGTTAAGTATTTTTAAAACTTTTTATTCAAGATACAGAAAAGAAGAGAAAAGCAGTGACAGCAATTAACTGTGCAGTGCTGAAAAAGGCTTTCATTTTTGCAGTCTCCCTTGTTCCCTTTCCCTTTAGCTGTGGATAGACCCCCCCACCCATTGGTGTTTGACCGTCTCTTAGATGGAATCGAAGGTGGGGAAAAGAGAATAAATGAGTGGCACTGGATGGGCGATATTGCGGCGGCGGCTGGTAAGGCCAGTCTCAGAAGGCGAGACTCCCCTTCTTTGGCAGACTGCTCGACGGCATCGGGGCTGGCAATAATGACCATCCTGAGTGGTGGTTGGGATTCAGGTGGCGCCATCAGGAGTGGTGATATCATCTGGGTCCCTCTCTTTGTGGCCCGTTCTGGTCAGGACACCTCCCAGGATTGGACGGTGAAGGCCCACGGTCCCAGGAAATGGTGGGGGTGCCTCCCTCTGTCCTCTCCACCTGTTCTTTTTCTTTTTTTGTTCTTTACCCACAAAATTTCATTTTTTTAAGGACCCCAAAAGGGAGCCAGGTGAAATAACCCATCCCCTGATTATTTTTTCAATTAATTAAGCCTAATATCCGACCTACCAATTATGGTTCATTAACTTCCAGCTCTACATCTCTTGTTCTTAATAAGATTAATTTCAACACAGTCTTTGAATCGGGTCAACTTGGCCTTTTTGTTTAGACTAATTCACTTATTCTGTCTCCCTTTTGTACCTTTCCCCACCAGCATTGGTGATTGTAGGTTATTGTAACGTCTTATGAACGTTTACATACATTTTCGACTTGAGCTCACAATTTGGGTACATTTGTAGGCTCTATTGTCAGAACAGCCCCCCTCAGGAATTCCTTCTGTCAGCAACCCAGGACTGAACAAGCTATTTTGATGCATGGCAGATTTTGGCCATTTGTGTCACCAAAATGCAATTCTGAAGTACCAACCTGGGATCTAACTCTTTGACAGACTCGCGCAGCGTGTGCAGAAAGTGAGCTCTCGTGCAGCACGTCTTCCTGACTACTCAGGAAACACTCAGCATACATCGCAGTAATAAATTGAGACTGACATGGGAAGTCCATTTTCTTTCCATTTTAGAAACACATCTAGACTCAGAGTATTATTTGTTTCCCCCCAGGGAAGTGAAGGAGATTTGTGAGGCAGCAAACAGAAGTTTTTGCTTGTCACAAACCTAATCTGAAAACCCGAGTGCATTATGAAATGTTCTGACATGTGCTACAGCCAAAAGGCCTAACGCTCTTCTCCCTCAGCCACATCTCCTGTACACATGGCCAGCGGTTAGAAGAACTTGGCAGGTATCCCTCTTCAGTGTTTTCCATTCCCCTGCAAAGCAGGATACAAGAGGAGGGGTATTTGCATCTTTCATCTGATCGTTAATTGTGCAAATGTGTCAGATTAATTGCCACCGGAAGTACTGGGAGGAGCACAGGCAGGGTCCCCAGTATAAACACAGGTGCTGGCCATGTACTGCTCTACAGGAGAATTTATTAAGTATCGCGCAGTTTAAGACTTGATCTTGAATAGACAGCCATCCCCCCCATGAAGCTGACAGTTGTCTTCACGCTTGTCACCCTGGCGCTTTGCTGCTACTCAGGTGAGTGAGCTGTGGGCTGTGGAACACTGTGCGTATGGAACCTCTGCAACCGAAGATGCCTTGGTTGAAAACTGCAATTCTTCCTGCTACGGAAAAATTCACTTAGTGTCTGATCCCCTTCCCTTTGATGTTAATGGAAAGACTCCTGAACCCAATGGGATCTGGACCAGTCCCTCAGTCAGAATCTGTACGATAAATAAGGATGCTGGTTATAAAGCAGCATTTAAGACAACTGGCAAATATTTCAGTATAGTCAGTGATCTGAACAGAGCAGCCTTGTAATCTCTGCAGGCTGCCATCTTTATGGTAACTTGCAAGAGTCACATCAGAGCCCCAGCTAGGTTTTCAAGAGGGCATAAGGGAGTTAAATACCCAAATGCCGTTGGGGTTGGGCTCCTCTGAAAATCTCTATAAGTGTGTATACCTTAAGCAAAAAAACCTGTAGAACTTAATTAAAAATACTGTGTAAATCTGCTGCAGTCTGTGGCTCTGGGAGCAGCTTGGACCTTCCTGTCATGATGCATGTCAACAGCATGGCATCTTTTTGAGTCATTATTTCATATGTAAATGGATCAGGCCCATTTCTGCTCACATGTGCAGTGGAGTTACTCCAGTTTTACACAGGTGTAAGTCAGAGCCGGATCTGGTGCATTATGTTTAAAATAAATAACCATCCATCATACAGTCATGGTTTACACTGAGCTAGGTGAGTGGAAATAATTTGATTTTGCAGAATAGTTTACCTATCAAGGTTTGCAAAATTAAATACTTGGCAAAAGATTTTAACTTGCAGTTTGTGTCTAGACAACAGTTATAAAATTCTTACTGAAAGTCCTAACGTTAGGAAAAGATCACTTTAAAAAGGAAGTCACAAACTTTAATTTTTTGTTTATTTCTCAAAAAATTTTAGAATTTTAAATCACAGTGCGCCCAGGTGGAGGAGTGATCTGTTTGGTGAGGAGGCCGTGCAGTCCCAGCGTATCCTTACCCTGAGGGAAAGGTCCATGACCTGGGAGCAGATTGCTGCTTTCATCCATGTTATTCAATAAATTCTTTTATAACTTTGGCCATTGCCCATGTAATGCTCTTCCCCTTCCTAACACTGAGAAACAGCCCCGAATGCTTTAGCAACAAGGACATTCAAAATGTTTGTTCATCTTCCTGTTGAGTTTGTTTGATGATTTCGTCTTGCAGCTTCTGCTGTCCTGAGCGTGGCTGGCAGTCTTGTGTCAAACCTTGTGCCAAATGTGATGCCAAACCGGGTTCCCGTTCCTTTCAGCGTCCTCACTGATCTGGTTGGAGGGGTACAGGGCTGTGTGAACCAGCTCACCCCCAAAGCGCTATCTGCTCTTCATAGGGTGCTGGTAAGTCCACCTTCTTTTTCTCCCATTCTCAAATTAAGTTCAATATATCAATCTCCAACTAACCTGGATTTTTTATTAATTAACATTGAATGGAAATGCTACAGGGAAAAAAATGACCCAAACTAATACCAGTTTGAATATAAGGAGTGAATGGGGCCAAAAGTTAGAACGCATCCAAGAAACACCAAACTCAGAAGGCTTTTCCAATATCTGGGTGCCCAGGTTTAATTTGCACCATGGCATTTGAAAGAGTACACAGACCGTATGTGTATTGCCTCCTATGGCGAGGAGATTACCGGTGCTTTGAGTCTGACTTTATACCCAGGGGATATTCCAGGACACTAATATGTTGTATGTGAAGGTTTCTCTGTCCTGTATTTGAAAGAAAGATATATACATCTAGATGATATTTTTATTGTTAATTGCTTACTCTATTGGTTTTTTTTTTGCTACCGAATGAGAATTAGACCAAAGGGCCCTCGTATCTGAGCAGCTTTGATCCCTATGCACCTTCTCGGTACATGACATCCCCAATTCAGGCGGAGAGTCACTGACAGGGGCTCCAGGAGAAGCCACGGAGAGGAGCTAGGACTGCAGCGATGAGCTGCCAAAAGCTGAAGAACCGGCTCCTTCACGCTGCCGCCGAAGTGCCACCGAAAACCCGGAGTGCCGCCGGGTGAGTAAAAATGAAAAAGGGACTCTCAGGGGAGCCTCCCCAGCCAAGAGCTCAGGCGGGCCAGACAGGACGGTCCCACGGGCTGGAGTTTGCCCACCCCTTTAGCAACCGGTTCTAAACCGGCTTCAAAATTTAACAAGTGGTTCACATAAACCGGTGCGAACTGGCTCCAGCTCACCACTGGCTAGGAGAGACCCTCATTGCTGAGCTCCGACAAGAGCTTTTTATGTACCTTTCAGCAACAAACGTAAATGAACGAAATGTTACAAAATGCTGCCCCTTTTCCTAGCTGTGCTGCTGGGACAGGTCCAAACCTCTCCTGAGCTCATAGCCCATCATGCAATAGCCCCTGCCTAGCCCACAGACTTGCTCCCCATTTGCATTTTCCTGGGCAATGTGCAGCTGAGGGCAAAACGTTAGAACTGGGGAGATCCACAGAACAACCAAGCCCAGAGAAGCAACATGCCACCAATTGGCATGGCCCCTGCAACAGGGCACTGCTTCTCTCTAGCCTGCAAAGGACATACTGCCATGCCCACAGTCTCTCTTGGGTATTTGACTGTCCCATACATAACCTAACCAAAGAAGAGCAGTTCGTCAGCTCCCCTGGGCTACTTTTCCTTTCAGACTCTCACTCCCTGACCCTGGGGACTCGGGCAGTCCTACTGCCTGCAGCTTCCTAACTCTGACTGACCAGGTCTCCCTCCTCCCTAGGTCAGGGGCCCCCTTATAAGCCCTAATCAGGGTCCTCTGATGCAGCATAGGTGCCCTGGCCCTGCTTCCTCTTAAAGGGCCAGCATCAGCCTGCAATAACCCCATGCCCCAGAACATGACAGGCATTTAATTCAAGCTCCTGGGACAGGACAAAGTCTCTTCTTATCTCCCACTCATTGTGCATTATTCCCGGCCTAGCCGCGGACTCGGTCCCTTAACTGCACGTTCCTGGGTAATGTACAACTGTGGTAGAAATATCACAAACTGGGGAGATCCAGAGAACAACGGAGCCCAGAGAAGCAGCGTGACTCCAGTGCGAGTGGCCCTGCTGCCCAAAATCTGGCAGCCGTTTATTGCAGCTCTAAGTTGTTTCTTACTGGTCTTGTGCAATGTAACCCCTGGCCAGGAGCTCAGCTCTGCATTCACTGCTCTTGCTCTGTCTTTTAGGGGATACTGAACGTCCTGGGGTAAGGATTCCTGCAGAGCCAGGTGAGGATCTCGGAGGGATGAATACCGGACGCTCCCCTCTTCTTCCTCTCTGATTTGAGCTTTTCTCCTATCTCTGCATGCAGCCCAAGCTCCCGGTGCTCTCACCCCACCCCTCCAGTGAGATCTCGAATCGTTCTAATCATTTGTTTCAATAAACTAACTGCAATGCACTCCCTCCTTCGTCTGCTTTGCTCAGAGTAACACAGAGGATGCGGCTGGTTTCGTCTGAGGTGTGGTCAAGGTAAGAGCTGGAGGTTTTGCCATTGTTGTGAGTTCCTGGCATGCTCGGGGTGAGGTGGGTGTAAAATGCCCAGTGATCTCGCTGTGAAGTGGCCGGTATGGGTGTAACATTCATTCCTCCAATCCCCTTTCCCCAGAGAAAACTGACTCAGGCTGGTTCCCTGATGGAAATATGGTGCACCTCAGTGATTAACCCTTTAGCTAGTGGACTACAACATAAGTGTGTTGGTGTGTGCTACAGGACTTGGAGTGAGGTTTTCCTCCTTCTTTGTTCACAGTTTCCAGCCCAGAAAGAAATCTATCTCACCCTGATTTGCCAAACCACATGGGATGGCTTCCCTGTTGTACTGGGCTCACCAAGAGAAAGATCAATTCTCCCTCTCGGGTCCCTGCCCCGTTGATTTAAAGTGTCAGTATTATCAAGATCCAGCAGATAACTCTCTTTAGGCACAGAGAAATCAGTAACATTCCTGGTGTCATTGCATCTCAGAGGTACGGAAAAGGCCTTGACCACAAATGGAAGTGGAAACCAGCATTAAATACACCTACAGATACCATGGAAGGGTCTCTGGGGCCCATCAGCTTCAGCTCCCTGCCCATCAGTTGCAGAGTGTGCATAGTGAAGCCCTAACTACCATGCTCTTCCTGGTTCCTGGTGTAAATGGGCATCATCTTTCATGAGAGCCCCAGGCAGGGTCTGCGGGGGTCCCTGTTGGTGCCCTCTGCATTCAGGGCTTTGTTCCCCAACATTTCTCAGGATTTTGCTCCAGATGGGTAGAGACTGTGCATTGGCGAGGACAGAGGTCCCTGAAGTTCCAACAGGTGCAACCAGAATCCCTTTTCACAGTCTTTAGCACTTGGATGAGCCAGGGAAACACACTCCCTTCCCTGAGCCTGTCCCCTCTGGGGAATGGTGCCAGCTCCTATGATAAACTCCCACTCCAACCACACGCCCTTTGTTCATTGCTTTGTGCTTTTATGTCTTTAGAGTAAATGTGGTTGAGATATAACAAGTGAATCCAAAGCAGCTGATGGAGAAGGCTGGGGCCAAAAGGGTACAATCCCCAGCACATTGGTGTCAGACCGCACAAACCACGCTGGTTTAACGTATCTAGTGTGTCGACGCCATCTTGCACTCAGCTAGCAAATCACTCACTCACGTCTCTTCCTGCAAATGCATCTCAGGCCCCTTCCCGATGCATGTCACATTCGTCATGCTGAAAAGGATCCACAGGGTGGTTTCTCAGGCACAGAAAAGATTCACTTAGAGGCAGGATGAACGAGCCTGGAAACATTCGGACATCTCAAATTAAGATCAGGAGAAACGCTGAGCTACTGTCTCCTGGGAGTTTTCCAAAGCTGATGTGTAAATGGGAATCGCTCCTGGGTGTGCTTGCTGCAAGGCTATTGGAAGTGCTCGGGGTGGCGTGTCTTTCACCATCCCTCTGTCACCCCCCTGCTTTAGCACAGGATCAGTGGGGCTGTTTGCTGCAAGCAGGCGGCCCAAAAGGGGAGACACACAACCTGCCATTCTGCCTGCCTGCGAGATGGAGGGAGAGCATCGTGTGCTCACCTTGAAATTCTCATCCTCTCGGGTGGTACCAGCACTGACAGGGATTGATCTCCCACTGATTTTGGGTGCTCTGCTCCTCCCTTACATTTCAGATCCAGGATATACTTGCATACCAGTGACATGCTGAGGTTTACCCCTGTGCCCAGTGCATGCGCCGAGTGCTGTGCCTAGAATGCTCCTGTCACTGCAGTAGGGGTGGAGCAGTTTGGTGGCTGGACCACGCGAGTAACAAAAATGTGGTTTTGGGTCAAACAACAATTTTGGGTCAAAAATGAAATGGTTCCTTGTGCTGCTGTGGGGAGATTTTTCCCTTTTAAACATATTTTGTTACATAAAAGGGAAGTGAATTTTGAAATAAAAAATGATGGAGAATCCACCACATCCCTTTGTATGATGCGCCAATGGCTAATTACCCTCCCTGTCTAATATTTGCACCTTATTGCCAGTTAGAATAGGTCTAGGTTCAATTTCCAGCCACTGGATCTTGCTTAACCAGCCTCTGCAAGATTAAAGAGTTCTCTACTACCAGACATCTTCTCCCTGTCCAGGTACCCCACGCAATGAACATCCAGAGATTCCCATGAACAAAAGCCTTGGGGATCCAGGCTTTACCACTGATGTCAGAGGAAAGCACTTTTGCATTTCACAGATTCAGAAAGACCCTGATTGTGGGAAGCATTTAAACAAATGCTTCAGTCTGTCTTTACCCAGGACAGCTCTTAAGCAAGGGGTTAAGTCCTTTCCTGAATGATGGGAATTACTCAGCACTATATGCAGGAAATGTTTAGAATTGCCAAACACAGCCAAAGTCAATGTTGTGTTAACTAGCTACAGCGGGTCAGATATTTTTACTTTTGTTTAAAATGAAAGCTGAGAGCCTCCCATAATCATGGGCTTCCAGGAGCAGGGGCTTTAAGACACTGAACCTGTAATGAATAATTCAGTGCTGAATTATTTGTCCAATAAGTGGAGAGTTACAGTCAGAAACAATGTCTTACGATGCTTCAGGACCCTGATTCTGCGAACACCTATACATTCTTAACTTTCATGCTTTGAATAGCTCCCATGGTTTCAATGGGGCTACATCAGTGGGGCCATTCATGGCAGTAAAGTGAAATACCTGCCTGTTTGCAGGATTGGAGCCCTAGAGCTACAGAGCACTTCCTCTTCCACAAGGCATGACCCTCTTCCAACTGGGTATGGTCCAGGACTCAAGGTGTTGGCTTGAAATAGTCCTTTAGAGGGACATGCTTGCTTCAAATAGTTCTGTAATTCCACTTTCCCATTCCTTCAACTCTCCATCCCAAATGAAAAACCGACAGATTAAAATAATTCCTTCACAATAGCGCAGGCGAGCAAATTCCTTTTGTTCCGCTGTGCTGGTGGGTGAAGAAAAATGTAACAGTGACATGCTGCTCCACTGAATTAATTACACGGAGGCTGCTGAAAGTGCATGCCATCTACAAAGGCAAATTGATGCAAGCTGCGTTATTAGTCTCATTCATTTATTAGAATCCGTATGAAGTTGATGGGGAGAGGACACAGGCGAGAGAAAAATATCGATTGGGAGAGTTTGCCTTCAGAATACGCAGCCTGGGTGCTTTATGGAAGAACGGCGAGAACAATCTCCCTACATTAAAATACCCCCGGCAGCACAGAGTACCCTTGATTCATCATGGGCCTCCTTTTTTGTGATACATTATGCTGGAAATACACCAAGCAGGGGTGGGTGGAGGCAGCTTGTATTGCTGATCATTCTGTACAGTACGCATGCATCTATTTTGCTGATAAATCACGGTTCGAGCTTCATGCCCTGCTGCTACTAACATCAAACTGAACAGCAATGACATCCAGTGGCCAAGTGGGTCCTTGCAGTCTGCTTTAAACTTGCCAGGGGTCTCTCCCACCCTAAAAAACTGAAATGCTAAATAGGCGACTGCCGTTGGCCCAGGCTGGCAGAGGGGGCGTTAGCTAATGCTCGGCACAGCTACCAATGTTCTAAGCAGGGCAGGGAAGCGTGTGCATCACCCCTGCGCTCAAGGCTCTGCACAGGAGCCTCTGTTCATTTCCAGACGTCGGTGACTGCCATGGCACTGATGGTTTCAGATTCTTCTGCACTCTCATCCTCAGAGCCAGTCAGCCTCCTGCCGGTTAGACACAGGGATAGATCCTCAGCTGGGGAATCAGCGGAGCTCCCCTGAGTTCCATGGAGCTACTTCCAGTTACACTAGTGGAGAATCTGGCCCACAGTCACCGATCTCCTTTTCTGCTCCATCGATACTCATGTCCTCTTGTTTAGCCAAAGGAGCTCAGTGGCTAGCAGCGAGCTTTCTTACTGTATTCAGGGCTCTGGAAGCTACCTAGTGTATCCATTGCTTTCACTCAGAGTACTACTCCCTTGTATGGACAGTGAATTAAAAAACAAAATTCAACTACTGATTAAAACTCCAAGTAAAAAACCTAGGTACGGGCCCTGTTATTATTAATAAATACGAATAATGAAGTCATAGTGCACCCCAGTCTTTAATTTATTGGCCAGGCAGTGTAAGGGATTGTGCTAAGATCTGAAGCATCTCCCTTGTCTATCACTTGAGCTAGCTGAAGGATAAGTCGAGACGTCTACCCTCAGCACTTCCCAGGTCACTGACTTTAAGCCTCATTATTCTAAAAGGGAGAGAATTGTCATCCAACCAGCTATTATTATCACTTGCATTTTAGAACGTAAGCACTGAGCATTAGTCCAGCTGCAACGGCCCGAGGCACATATTAACACCAAAGGTAATGGAAAGCCACATGGTCTGACTTAAACCTCACACAAGCTCCAGTTGAAACTGCACGGTCCCCCTCTTCCCTCCAGACTGTCTACACGTGCGACAAAGGGTCACAGATTCAGTTAGACTTGGCAGCAGACTTTGCCATGAGACTCTCCCTCAGGCATTTGCCATCCTGCTATGCCACACGAGCAGCTGTAGATGCATACCCTGCTGCATGGGGATCAGGTACCTTGCTCTGGATACTGTGCATCTATGCTAGATGGGGGCATATTGGCCAGTTGCTAAGAGCTTTTGGAGATTATTAGGACTCTGTAGTGAGCAGGCAGGGGCCCTCACTGAGACGGACAGGGAGGGATGACCACGGACCCTTACAAGCCCTCTGTTAAAAGTC